GATAATAATTGTACGACACATTTTATGCGATTTATTATTTATTAGATTGACGTACGCGTTAGTATACCCTTTTTTTAATAAAATGTAGTACATGTACAGGATACGGACTCACATTAATTCCTGTCATATTTAACATATTTCATGTACATTTTTCTTTTTTCAACAAACGTTAATCGACATAAAGGTCGACGCCACGATTGGGAATCCGGGGCGGTTTTGTAATGTTTTGTCAAGAATTATTGACAGATTAGCAAAGTAAAGATAAAAATGGATACCGCGGATTGTAAACGCAGGAATTAAAGATTAAATAATAGACAGAGGTCGTGAAAATAAGTCGTTGGGCGTTGTCAAGCTGGTCCATTCGTAAGAATAGAACGCGGACAATGTTCCAGCGAATCGAGGGTACAAATACCGGAGAGGGTTTTCTAAATTTCCTAACGGAGTATGTTCGAGTCATTGAAGATTCACGACCGAACGACTAAAAAAAGTAAAAGGTATTCTTGGACCACCTTTCTCTCGTTAAACAACGGGAACACTCTTTTTTCCTTAGTGGGGCAAGGTTATAGGACTGGAAGAGAGGATTTAGGATGCCGGCGATCGATGGATAGAAGAGCAAAAGAGAAAGGAGTTGAATGATAGAACAAGAGAGATATGGAAAGGAAGCGGGGCGGGTGGCGGAGGGGAGGCGAAGAGAGACAGAGGAAGAGACGGGAAACAAGAAAAAACGAGAAACGGGTACCGTTCATTCGTTCCGTTAGGCTCCATCACCTGTTCACTTCATTTTGTACCTATACAAGGGGCACGCTTCGTGTATCTATTTACATAACTTCCAAGATCGAGGACACGACCAACTAAACCTCGCCGATACTTTTTCGAAGAAAGAATCCCGCCAATGCTGTTTGGGTCATAAAGGCCGGGCTAAAAAAAATGATACGCACAGTTACTCCAAAATATATTCGTACACTTTCAACCAGTTGGCTGTTTTTTTGACGAGTATACTCGTCACGAAGGAATGGCAACATTTCGTGTTTATGACGTTCATACTCGTCACGAAGGAATGGCAACATTTCGTGTTTACGACGTTTATGCTCGTCGATAACAGCAAACTGGTTAATTAAATGCATACAAATTAGTAAAAAGAAAGTAAAAAGAAAGAAATCAAAATTGTATGATGTGTGCTTTTAAAATTGGACTAAGTTACTTGAATATTTTGAAGACGTTAAAGAGGCTAGTTTACTGTACAATGATTCAAATACATTTCTTTAATTTTGCTACTACCTGGAATGACAAAGAATTCCCGGTGACAATTTCACACTGTTTTCAAGTTCCAAAGTATATTATTCTGTCATTTTTAGGAAAATTTTGATCTCACTTTACGACTTTCATCTTTTTAATACGAAGCATATATGTATATCTATTATTATCAATGAAAAAATTATATAACGTAATATGACAATATTCGTTATGAAAAAAGCAATAGCAAAATTCAAAGAGAGTATTTTAGTCATTGTACAGTAAATTTTTTCTCCAATTGTCCCTCGGCTTGTAAACAAAAGTGGACAATTTGGGAAGAGGAGATACGATTATCCGATCATTGCGGCTCCTTTTTATAATTTAGCGACAATCAAAACGATACTCCAACGCTCGATAATCGGTAACTGAGTTTCGCAGGGTGTCTCAAAAATACGTATCAATACTCGAGGAGGCTGCAGTTTTGAGTTGTAAATGACGAAAGAAAACATTCGAAATACGTGCCTGAATATTAAAACCTTTACGCGCCTCAACAATAACTTCAAATCCAATTTTTATCGCGAGATTTCCATAACATCTTTCTCTCTTGCGTTTTGCTCGTAAACATTGGATAAGATCGAGAAGTGGTGAAGAATGTAGTTGCGTGAGTCGAGACACGTGACGGACACTTTTAAACACTTTCCTATTTCACTTTCGTCTCGAAAAGTAAGGTGCTTAT